AAATCGATTATTTAATGATTTTCTCATTAATTACAAATATAAGTATATTTTCTTTTTTAAAGTTAAATGTTTGTATAAATAATTAATAATTATCTAACTTTTATAAACAAATGCTTTGGAAACAAAACAATGGATATATTTTATGGTTAAAAAGTTTTGAATGTAAATTATATTTAAAAACTTTAAAAAATTGTAGACATTTTTATTGTATAATAATTGCAAATAAGATTAAGTAAAATTAAAACCAATGGTATAATCCATTGTATAAAAATATGTGACATTGAATTCTTATATAAAAATTGTTTGACAAATATGAATGCAGTAGAATCTCTGAAAGTAGAATGGCTAAATGTTTTGTATTTATTATACATGTTTAGGCATGTGATTATGGTTCAGTACGATTGCCTTGGATTCCAACAAATATCATAACTTATCTGTTTTGCAGTCATTTGTGTCAATCGATTTGAAGTTATTGGAAAAGATCCTATAAATTTAAATCATAAGATATTTTGTTGAAAAATAACAAATATTATATACAGTATAATAATTTTATTTAAAAAACCAAACGTTTAAATTTTGTTTTCATTAAAAAATAAAAGCTTACAGCTAAGTAAATTCTGTAAGTTAACTAATGATTTAAATACAGTGAAATGTTAATCATATTTCTAATATATACTATTAATGTAGATTCTACATTATAGACATCAAACATTTAATGGAAGTTTAAATGTTTAACTTAAGAATAATAATAATTTATAATTTTCAGACCACACTCAATATAAGGAAAATAAGGATTTCATGAAAAGTAGTGTTGAGAAGACAAACAGAATAAATATTTTCTATTATGTTAAGTAGAATTTGATATACTGTATAAATTTGGATGACTTACGACTGATCTACATCAAATAATTATCCAGGACAAATATAATTCTTGACTAAAATAGTTGTTTGCACCATGTAGAACATAATTTTAAATTAATTTTAAAATAGTAAAACCTTTCGTTAGCACGAGATATTAACAAGGTATGTTCTATATGGTGCAAACAACTATTTTAGTCAAGAATTATATTTGTCCTGGATAATTATTTGATGTAGATCAGTCGTTAGTCTAGTGATCTCGGTTTATATCTATAATTTAATTATGAATTCTTGTGTTTAAAAGTCAGTGTTTGATTGAATTTTTTGTTGAATAAAGAGGATATCATGAATATATTAACTGGAATTGTCGTCTGAAGCAACCACTAGTGTTTAGCCATTAAATTGTTGATTGGGAGACACTTTTTACAGTAAATATTTAATATAGAGTATAATTTTCTGTGTCTATGTGTTTACATCAATTCAAAGGAATTCTTTGTTGTCAGCAAATGATTAATAGATGTTTAAGTGTTTATATCATAAATTGAAAAACTTTCAAATATAAAGATAGAGTATAAGTGTTGAGTAAACAAAAATTATTCATTGAATTGATTTGATTGCCGATGTCGTGCTAAGTAAGCCCAGGGATGGACTCATTTAACATCTGTTATTAGGAAGAGTTGATTCACTTGTTGTGACCAATAATTATTTTGTAATATATTTAGTAACAATCAAAGTATATCACAATATTTCATAATTGGCTTTATTTTCTAAGAAATTTAAATTATATGCACCGGTAGTATTAAAATTATCAAAAGTGTCATTTTGCTAATCACTGATATAAGTGAATGGTTTGTTAACTAATGTGTCATTAAATTAATAAATATAACTCATGTGACAATCACTGAACAACATAGTCCTAGCAATTGATATAAATTTCGCCATAATTGTCAAATAAATTATGACAATATAAATTTAATAGTTGCATATTTAGTATTTTTCAAATGTTTCCTACGTGTATATGTAATTATCATAAAATTGATGTAAACATAAGATAATTTATAATGCATTCGGACTTTTAATCCCTGGTTATTCATTAATTTCTTATAAATGCATGAATAGCCTATTGAACTGCTATTATTTAAACCAGAAATTATTAGCTTTTCTAATCATTCAGTTTTGATGCTAGTTATNTAGCCTATTGAACTGCTATTATTTAAACCAGAAATTATTAGCTTTTCTAATCATTCAGTTTTGATGCTAGTTATTGAGATAACAAATTGAAAACTTTATATCATAAAATTAATATAACATTTGATTCTTGAGTGAATTCAAGAGTAGTTGTTCAGTAGTTTTCATCCATTAACTCATTTAATATATGTAATTGTATTCATGAAAAACCACAAAATTTAATATTCTTTACAAAATATTTAACTATTCAAACACAGATAATCACTGGTAAATAATATCGTGACGAGTTCTCCTTGCATATCTTCGGTTAACCAGTGGAACGTGTACATACAGTAAACCAAACATTTATATTCAATTTAAAGTTTCCGTTTGAATGTAGCAATAAATGAGATTAAACAAAACAATAAAGTAAGGGATAGTAACTTATATCTCAACAAATATAATACTATTCCTACAAATAAAATTGTAATTGAAACACAAATACTAATTATTGCATAAGTTTATTAATTTTTAGATTCAATTCACTCGTCTATGAATTAAATATGTTTTGTTTAATTGTATGAATAATATGTAATATTTTCAATTGATTTCTTTAAAAAATTGGTGAACTTTACAGACGAGAACGGGTCAGTCATTGAGACAAAAGCCAGGAATATATCGGTGTTTGTATCGAATTGTACGAGAAATGAGACGGAATGCCGGTTCACCAGAGGAACGTCCGCTCAGCTCGACATCACATTCAGTATGCATCTCACGATTAGCACAATTTGGACACAAATTTTCTGATCTTAACTGTGATTATATTGCACGACAGCCTCATTGGCCGCATCGCCCGAAATAGAGAGGGGTATTCTGGCGAAGATGTATATGTCTGCTCTGGGAAAGTATGTGCGCATCCCATACGGAAACACCATCAATCCGTGCCATAACATGAGAAGTCTCAATGAGACTATAGACACCGACAACCATATACTCAATAACTGTGTGTCCACTGACACGCAAGACACTACAGCTACGAGTAACTGTATGTCCGCCGCTACACAAAATACAACTCATGTGCCCAACTGTCTGTCCACTGGCATCAAAGCGAATCAAACCTATAATTCGTTGTCAGAGTTTGAGGTCTCCACTGATTTTCCTGAAGTACGAGTCAATACTTAAAACTAATATTAATTATTAATGTCTAAAAATATTTGAATCCTATTCTACCAATAGGTTAGTGGTATTCAAGTAATGGTATTATTCAGACATAAGGTTGCGAACAGACGTGTTAGTAGTTTGAGAAAGTGGGACAAACATCCGGGTCCTATGTTCTTGTGCATTGTATTAGATAATTGTGCAGTTGTTTAGATTGCATTCATATTTAATAAATTACTTAATAATAATAAATTGTTAATTATTCTTTACTCTAATATTTAATTTAAATCAATAGAATTTTGAGCATAAAATAATTTTAAATAAAATTTAATTACATGTATGTAAAAATGATAATCTATTCAAAAATGTTTTTTAAATAAACATCATTTAATTGAATAGATATACAGTAAATAAATAGATTTTTAAAACAAACGGTTGATTCTCATTTAGCAAAATATTTCAAACAATTTACTATTTAATATGAAACAGTAACTTTTATTGATGAGTTACAGAATATAAGTTAGTATTACTGTAATGAAGCAAGCAATTTTGTATATCATAGCAGATATTGTAGGTAGAATGGCAGAATAATACATGTATAACTTAAGAAATATACTAGAAATACCACTATATTCACAATTTTGAATTTGATGTATTCAAGAATTCGTGAAAGTACAGTTACTGTAATACTGTATACCTTGATGAAACAGTACAATTCTTGTACAAATGCAATTCTTGCTGTAATACTGAACTGTAACAGTAGATATAACAGTACTGTATATGATTTGCACAAAAGTGTTATGCAATCAGTGAATGAGTGAACAGTACTTATGAACGACTCAATTGACTGGACCTCTGCTCACAACTGGTGTCAACACAACACAAACATGTGATTCAATCAATCAGTCATTCATTTGATTTGATTTGAATGAATGAACCGATGCTGTGATGGGAGTGACAGTGAGTCAAGTGTTGTTCCTCATGACCATCCCTACGATGATAGCACTGGGAGTGGGATATGTTGTCATGCCTTCAGATGACCAGAAGAAGAAGTACTGGAATCAGGTATTAGACACCAAACTCACCACTCGTTCATTGATTCACTGATTCATTGATTGATTGATTGATTGGTACAGAAATATGCAGACAAACAGAGTTTCACCCAAAAGACTGTCGACAACAACGACCAGTTCATGGATGTCATCAGAAAGAGTGCATCGAGTGATACCCTGGTGTTTGGCCGCAAGTCTAAGCCCACAGACAGTGCCAGCAAATGATGATCACATTTGTGGTGATTGTGTGACCAGTGGTTGTGTCCACACATTGTATGCATTGAATGAGTGGTAGTTTAGTTGAGTGACCACTACTTGTAATCACTATTACATCGCTATTACATGCTTTCACTTTCGGTTATCAAGTTATTGTCAATTAGTTATAATTATGAATAATATGTAAATTTTGTATAAAACCAATAAAATAGATGTTCAAATATATCACGTTTTGTGACCCAATTGTGTTTTGTGACTCAAACTTTTGTTTGAGAGGTATGTGAATTGATTTAATTTGATTATATTTACGCTATAATTGGCTAATGGTTTGTAAATTGGATTACAAAGTACTTCACTTTCAATGTATTTAAAGAAAGATGAGTTGAAAAGTAAGATATAATTGTTTCCTAATATCTAATAACCAGTAATTTGCGAACAAACAAGAGTTGAAATTGTATTTAAAAATAAAGTTTAAATTACAGATTGAGGCCATTCTCTCATCTCATGTGGGGATCAAAACAATTTCTAACATATCTTATAATGAATAGTCTTTTAAAAATAAAATTTCTTGAATACAATAAGTCTTTCCATTAGAGGAGAATATGTGTCAAATCAGATATAAAAGGGTCAAACGGACAGTAAGTGAAATAGTGCGCTCTTATTTATAGAAATATTTAAATTTTATGGCACTTATTATAGATATGAAAAGCAATTTGAGTTAAAAACAAAAAAAAATAAATTTTTATTTTTAAGGAATCATTGTTTTACTTTTTTTTACAGAAATTTTTTATTATCCATTACATTTCAGTCAGTATACAGTACTCGAGAATGTATACAATGAAGTATACGGTAGACATCCACTGTAAGGACATCTTTTCACAAATCATTTGAATATTTGACAAGATTTAAAACTTTGAATATTCGGTTAAGTTTGTGTGATATATTGGTATTTGCAAATGAAATAGCTGTAGTAATAAATGGTGGCATAATTAAGAGAAGTGGGGCCCACCATATCATTTGAACTTATAATGAAAGTATGTCTCGTGGTGTTTAATATTTTAATAATAATTGAAAATAGACATAAATAGATTAGTAGTAAATCTTTGTGTCTTAATACTATTAAGAAAGACTTTGTGCTAAATACTGAGATTTATTAACAAAGATATTTTGTTTTGGTATTGATTTTAGTAACGAAAAACTCGAGTAATGTCTTGATTTGAGTGAAGAAAACGATAACAACAAGAGATTGAGAACAAGAGTGAGAAATGTCTTGAATTAATTTGATGTGAAGTCTTATAAACAATATTGTGTTTGTGTTGAGAGACTCATTGTATGCAACACTAGGATAACAGTGAAGAGTCAGTCAAAACTGAAATTCAAGTTTTGCTTCTCTTCTCTACAATTTGAAAGTTAATTGACTTTTGTGTTCACTTTTTATGTATTTTTCTATTTTTAAGATCTAATACATAACTTATAATCGATTTGAAGGAAAAGTAATATTTTCATACATTATTCCGCATATTTTGAAATTAATGAAAATATTTTTTATCAAATCTTATATTAAAATCATTACTGTATTTAGTGTTTAGATATTTTATTTTTATTCGAGTTTTGTAATGAGTTTTAAATTTTATTTTCCTTTTATGTTTTTAAATAGTGTTCAAAACGAAAAATACAATGAGTTTTGTTATAACCGAAGAGTGGATTGATTTTATTAAACAGATTAAGTGGTCTATAGTAGTGGCACTCCTATCAGTACATATCGGTGCTGTTCAAGGATTATATCTTCTCGTGTCTGAAGCCAAATGGCAGACAATTATTGTTTGTTATATTTTCAGTAAGTATCACTTTAATACATTTATTACATCAAACATTTCGGAATGATTTTAATTTAGCATTTGAAAAGTGAATTTTTTTATAGATTTTAAAATGTGACAAAACTTGTAAATTAAGTAATAATTTGTATTTCCTTTCAGGTGTGTTGGCAGGCATTGGAGTACTCGCAGGTAATTTTAATTTATATATTTAATAATTTAACTTACAAGTTAGACAAGTATTTGTATGTAATGTAATTTTTAAATAATTGTATTTTTATTTAGTTTAGAATAGGTTTCTTTTGTAATTTTGTTATATCATAAATTTAGTACAACCAGAATATACAAAAGTGTGAATATATTATATAACTTATAAACATAAACATAAAAGCAAACATGAATTATTTATACAATTTGTGGCTACAGGTGCCCACCGTTATTTTAGTCACCGGAGTTTCAAAGCGAATTGGAAACTTCGGTTAATCTTAATTATATTGCAGACCCTGTCGGGTCAGAAGTCGGCCATAGACTGGACACTGGACCACCACACGCACCACAAGTTTGAGGGCACAAATGCCGACGCCGTGAGTCTGGGTCGGGGCTTCTTTTTCGCTCACATCGGGTGGCTTATGATGGAAAGGCATCCCCAATGTGTCGAAAAGCGCAACAAACTGAATGTCGACTACTTGTGGACTGACCCCATCGTTAGACTACAGCACGAATACTATGTGTTTCTATTCATTGTCATCAATATATTGATTCCAACGCTTACTCCTTATATATTATTTGGCGAAAGTTTAGTCCTTAGCTTTTATACATGCTTTGCATTCAGATTTGTATATACAATGCAATTGGCATTAAGTGGTAATATTTATTAAATTATTAGTCATTGAGATAAATTTTAAATATATTTAAATTATGATTACAGGAAACTCTTTTGCTCACATGTATGGGTACCGCGAATACGACAAGTCCTCCACATCTACTCATAACAAACCACTCAATTACCTGACTCTTGGCGGAGCCTATCATAACTTTCATCATGCATTTCCTTACGGTAATAGATTCACATCAATATTATTATAAATATAGTTTATAAATACCGTGGTCCATATGATTGGGTACTAATGATCACAACCAATTTTTATATAATGCTTTTAATAAGGTTTATGAATTATTTACTCGATTTTTCTCGAATTTAAGTGATTGTAATGAGGAATAATAACTGAATAAAAATGATAATCTAGTGTTTAATTACCTAAACGTTAGTCTATTTCTAGAAAGTGTTACATCTATTGAAAAGTTAACTTAAATTAAGGTTATAATGAATTATTAATATTGACAGTAATTAAGGCGATATATTGAATAAATTGTGATTAAAATGGATACAAATGATTACAGACTACTCCGCGAGTGAGTTCGGTGTCAAGAGCTTTAATGTCTACTCGGCTTTCATTGAGTTCTTTGAACGGATCGGATGGGCATATGATCTGAAGAAAGCGCCACAAAATTTGGTCGATATTCGCAGACAAAGAACTGGTGGCGAAGTCGATGAGAAAGCAGTGTTTAAATCATATCCCATCACAGATTGGATATTAGGATTTATTATCAGTTTTAATGTTGTTTGGACAGTTATTATACTCAGACTATTTATTTATATAATGTAGTCATTCAAATCAACAACATTTTAATTCATTGAATCAAAATGATTAGCACTTTGTAATACAAACAGTCAATTGTTTCATTAACTTATTATCAGTAATAAAAGTACAATTTTGCTTTCACACTTTATTTGATTTTCAAAAACAATTCACTTAACCTTACATAATGTTGAAAGTCATTTTAATAATAAATAATTAATTAATTTAATTAAATTAAATTTTTTGAATCATCAAGTGCAAGATTAAAGGATTAAATCATAAATTAATTAATTATACACGAAATAATGTCAATAATATACCGTATATTATTGATGTATTATACTTGTACAGTATTAATAGAGGTAAGGAATCATTTGATATTTTACTTCACTCTTGTATTGAGTCCAATATTTACCATATTTTTTGGCACATTTATTATCATCTCTTATACTTCGATGTATTAGGAGTACAGTTAGGAATAGGAGATAGAGGTATGGTATGGGACTGGCATATAGTGCAGGCAAACACCACAGAAATGTTGACAATAACTCAAACGTGTAGTTCATGTGTCGTGTGATTCCCCAGAATCCAGACGTCAAAAGAATACTTCGCTTTGTTTTACCGAAATCGTCCACATATTGGGCACTATATGTATACAAATAATTATATATACCGTACTGTATATAATATTATACAATTTACAGTATTATATTACTATATTTATCTAGAATTTTATGTTATATCTAATTATTGTACTGTATAACTAAACTTTTGGGTTAAACCAAGTATGCTTGTAGACTATTTTTTTTTAAATTGACAATAACTAGTAAAATAATTATAAAATATTTATATTATCATATTATACGTTGAATTTTTTGTCAAGGTTTTAAACAGTGATTTTATATGGTAATGAAGAAATTATTAATTTATGTATAATATTTATATGATTTGTGATATAAAGAATTTATAATGTAATTTACTATTTATTAACAGTTATTTAATAATTATGCTTACTTTAGTATAAATTTAATGATTTATTTTCCCTCTTTGAAACGATTATTGGCAAATAATTTATTTTAAAATAAAATTTAAGTGATAAAATAACAATTTAACATAAGTTATACCGTATAAGTTTTGCGGGTTTCCCCCAAATAACGCACTTTCCATCAGTGGCTCTAAACTCCAATTTTTGTTGATCTGACCAATAGTTAAGACCAATGACTAGTAAACCAGTTATAAGAACCGCAATAAATGAATTGAAACCAAATTGATTGTGCGGTGTATTTTTAACCAAATAGACACTGGTTATTGGATAGAATCCTGGTACAAAAGCTATACAACCCCAGCACACATAATAGCCAAACCGATCTACTGATGTATCTATTGTCTAGAGATTGTTAGAAATGTAATTAAAATTAGACAATTTATTATTTTATTAATCTATATAAAATAGTGAATAAATTAAAATAAAAATATTACAAGTACTTGAATATTAAAATGTAAGAAAACTTATTATTTTACTAAATCGTAAGTGTCCTCTATTTATTGTAATACAATTTAAAAACTATTACTGTATAATATATTACAAGTTAATATATAATATAATATATTATAATATATTATATATTACAAGTTTATTTTATACAGTACCAATAGTACAGTACAAATAATATAAAAATAATGTAATAAATATGATAAATGAAATAAACAGATGAATTAACTGACATTCATGTAGCCGTCCTCCCAGTAGTAAAATTTTGCCAAATATATGGTTTGCAATAAAGTTGTGGCCGTCAGAGAGTAATTGATTGTTCCTGGTGGTAATGTTTCGTAATTTGCTTTCCAACACAACAGTACTATATATTGCCATAAAATCAAACCAAATCTGCATATAATCCATACTTTTAAGCTAATTATAGGTGAGATGTGTGGATATAATTCAATTCCCCAATAATAATCAAATATTGGATTCTTGGTTCTGTTATACAAGCCTTTTGATGGCAATAGTAAACCTTTATATTGAAAATGATAAGAAAGTAAGAATTAATTGAAAAAATGTAAAAATGATGAAAACCTTTGACATAAAGAAGAGCACAGAAGACAATTCCGAAAAGACATAAAATGGCGATAAAATTGGGTAATTTGTGGTAGAGATGCACAACCGAACAGTTCACTACCAGTCCAACAGTTATTACCATTGATATGACATAGAATCTAAAGCCCGTATGCCTTCATATAGTATTACAATATAAATAGTATTTTATTAATATATTATATACTTTTATTAAACAAAAGGTAAAATATTAATGCTTTATAAAGATTATGACTTATTTTAATGTATAAAATAAATGTAAATGGAATTGAATTCAAACCAATATTTAGGTACAAATCCATTGGAAGTGATGGGACCGTTGTATGGCTTTCCCGGCAGATGCAATGATATGAGTCCCCACAACAAGACAATCAATATTATAGTCCAACATTCAGTATCAAACCTATTATTAGGTTATATTTTAAGTTTATTTAATACAATTATTATTTTATAAAATAAATAACAATTGACTATTATTTTGTTCATATTTTTTGTATTTTTATAATACATTTATTTAATGTTGCACTAACGTTAGAAAAAATCATACAATTATTGTAAAGAAATAGACATTGCTACTTTATTTTAAGTTTATTTGATTACATGAACGACATAATAAAATTTTTTCGTCAATTTGTAAAGGGGTAGTCAGGGTTTTAATAAATTTTTCTAGAATAATATTTCACATAATTTATAAAATGTTTTTAAATAATTCACTAAATTATTGGTTTTAATTTGATATAAAACTTTTTATAGATTTTACATAATTTATTAACAAAAATATAGTTGACTATGAAATATCATATGAGTATGTGAATAAATGAATATCGATATTTAGTAGAATAGTTTATTTTATTAATTAATAATGAATTTTATTAGTTAATTGAATAAATTTGCAACCCTTTGTTGTTGTAGAATAGTTTGATAAATCTTTAATTATAATGCGATTTGAGGAGGATTTTGATTATTAAAAATCAAAGAATGATAACAGGTATACACTGTATAGTATACAGTATTATTAATATTATCTCCAAAATAAACTAATATTTAAAAATTATCAGTATAGGCATATTTTGACTAATATTCTAAATGTAAATTATAAATATGCTTATCATGCTTAATAATGAAATGACACTGGAAATGATAATTTTATTATAATTTTTAAAAAATGGCTTGTTAATAATTATGTTAAAATATTCTTGACAACATAATGTAATGCAGTTACTGTATTACAGTATGCTTTGCAAGTTATATTGATACAATATAACAAACCTGTATAATGTAATATAACTCAAATTCCTAACTAAACATTTCAAAATGATGAATAATTGTAAAATATAATGTAATCATTTATAACCTAACGATAAATTAAATTAAATTACATTAAATCATTGGTTTAATTCCTGAAACTTTCTCTGCTTTGCTGTCATTCATAGCGCTATAAAGATTGCATTTATTTTTGTTCATTTAAAACACCTAATCTTGCATTTGCACTCAATTTATAACCAGAGTAAACAATAAATGAACAATTTATATATAAGATATTTCTTTCTTTCTGAATATTTTGATATATATTTTGTATATACATTTATGTTGGTTTATAAATGATTGCACCTTATATCAGTATTACAGGGTGTTAAAATAAAAACAATGTGAATTAGCAGTGCTACTTTGTTATTCCTTTACTGTATATTTACAGTATAATAATAATACTCTAAATATTCTAAAAATATACATTATATAAAGTAATAGCAGCAAAAATAACATACCAGTCAACGGAACCCCAGACATGTATTAGTGATGATTTAAAATTATAATTCAAAGTCTCTCTAATGTTACTATTTTTGACGACAATTATATGAGACAAAAGGATTGTCAGATTAGGTGTTGTTATCATTAGAAGTAAGGGAACAAATATCTCGCGAAATAAAACATTATATAATTTATTACTAATTGTAAGTTCCATTTGTTGATTACTTTTCAGAACCATTTTATTATAAATTTGTCAAATAACTTAATTAATTTAAAAATATTAATTTAAAGTTTTGTCATCAAATTATTCAATAAAAATGTGAATGTGAATGCCAACAGAACTAGTATTGTGGTTGCAAATACCATATCCCAGAACGACCTTAACTTATAGATACTGTAATTTGCTTAATATCTCAAAGTCCCACAATTATTTGAGTCTAATCTTGTGAGAGATAGTCCGAGTACTACATTTTGATCAGTTCTTGGTCTCTATTTTTTATTATCATTAAATTAGTTATTATGAGTGCTCTATACTTATCGCACAAATGATTTCCATTTTAAAATCATTAGCTTTTATAAGGAATTCCAATAACTTATTATTAACTCTCATTTCTTTCTAAACAATTATAGAGGCATTACTTTTTAAAATTGTTTTGTAATTTAAATGTTTACTCATTTTTACTAGACCCTTAATAAATATAAGTTAAATTAAAGTTAAATGTTCATAGACATAATGTTAAATATTGTAATTTTCGAATTGTAAAATAAACATTTTGTAAAAGTATGGCATTAATTTTCAAAATATATGGGGGTTTGGTGGGTCAATGGTGGCTATCAAACCCACTACCGATATCATGAATACCATTACTCAAGGTTAGGTGGGGCACTTGCTTTTACTGACTAAACAATTGAAAATTTAAAACATTAATAAGCCAATGAATAGATAGTACGGTAATATGATAAATATTTGGACAAACCATTGCTCGTACAAAGTATTTTTCGGGTCATTCACTGACTTTTTAGTAGCAGTAACTAAAGAACTCATAAAATAGTGTACAATTAAACATTAAAATGAAATGCCAATATTAGCGAATCAAAAATGTGGATGTCCCAACTCATCGTAAGTATCCTCATTGATAACCGTAAATCATTTAAATCATTACTACAATATGGTAGTTGATAAAATTCTTACTCATAATACAATTTATTTAATTATTTCTTATAAATATTTTGTTGAGAAAACTTTTTTAGATATATAAAATAAAATCTTACTTTTCATGGAAATTAGTAATTTATAAGGCAGTATATTTCAAAAGCTATAAAACTAGTTTAACTTATATAATAACTACAATAGTATTTGTCATTAAGAAGTTGACAAAAACAGTTCCGCTGTAGTGATAGACTTAATGATTACTAATTAGATATAGAATTTGCAAACCCATGGCCACGCTCTCCACTCTACTGGCATTCAAATGTCATTTCACTTTAATATGAAATTTAACATAACTTATACTTATATTTACTCCTAAAATATGCAAAATGTTGTACAGTACTTGGTTGTGATACAGCTTGCTCATTCATACATTTGACTTTTTAATCATATAACTTATTACATGAACCATAAAATTAGTAAATAATTTCCTTTTATTATAAAAACAAAATCATATCAAAAACATTTTCATGTCTACCCTTGAAGTTGTCATTGTTTCTATTATAACTCATAATTTGTATCCAAAAATGTCATTTTAACTTTTAAATAACCATTCAATGTAAAAATTAATTGGTCTGTATACTTTCTAACATTTTGTGAATTTACTAGAAAGTGTTTTAAAAGTTATATTTCTCACATTTCATACAAATGACAAAATTAGTAATTTAGTTTAAAACTAGTTAATACATTTTATTTAGAAAATGGACATAAAATGTAAACTTAAAGATTATCTTTCACAAATTTTGTGGTTACAGTCTCTGTCTTTAATCTATGTACATATTGGAGCCATTTATGGAGTATATCTGTGTATTACTTCAGCCAAATGGCAGACTATTGTTATGATTTATATATTGGGTAAGCAATTGACTATTTATTCATATCAATAACTATCATAACTCTTACAGCGTTAATATTTATGATTTGCTAACTTACTATAGGGTGTCCCAGCTTATTAGCAGGATTTGAAATTAAAATTAAAAATATTTACAATTATATTTTTCTAACAAAAACTACACCAAAATGTTGGAAATTTATTAAAATATGTGCGATTCATAAAATGCTCATAAAATTCATACCATGGTCATAATTTTAGTTTTACTGCATGCATGTCTGTTTTTATGCCAAAAATCGTGAATTTCTTAGAGCGCTATGAATACAAAGCATTGATGCGAGCATTAAAAAAAGAGATGCAAGCAGTAAAACTAAAATTATGATCAGGGTAGGAATTTTATAAACATTTTATGAATCGCACATAAAATTTTAATAAATTTTCAACATTTTGGTTAAAATATTTGAGTTTTTAAAAATATTTTATTCGTATTTCTACATCTCTTTCCCTTTTATTCCGAGCCAATCCATATACAATATATTAGGCATTACAATATAATATATTGAATAGGTGTGTTATTCAAGTATGTGTTATTCACAATAGATTACTGACAAACATGGGGTTTTTATTGTATGAAGGAGGCTTTCAAACTGAATCAAAAATTTATGAGGTGTTGATGAAAACTCCAGGTTTAAAATGATAAATTTTTATTCAGTTTGAATTAAAACTCTGGGAATGAGAGACTTTGGATATCAAAAGTTGGTGTATTTTTAATATAAACCATAATTATCATTGTATTTGAAAATAATGGATATTAATGTTATTTATGATTTTATAATAACTTTTACTATATATTTTACTAAAATCAAATTTGTTTTATGATTTCTAATGAATATACTATTAGTTTATACCACAGAAAATTATTTAATACATAGAAAGATTTTAATTTATAATGGTAAAAATATTTTTTATGTTGTATTATATTTCTCGAGATTCTGGTCATCAAATTAAATTATATTTACACAAATTGAGCAAGCATTTATTGCGTAAATTCTATAAATCTTTCAGCAAGTTTGAATATCATTTTGATATTTTAGATCTTTTAATTAATGTATATTTGTATGCACTGTAAAAACACAGCAACTTTTGACTTTAAATCTCTCATTCCAAGAGTTTTAATTCAAATTGAATAAAGATTTAATATGTTAAACCTAGACCTTTAACTAATACCTCATGAATTTTTCATTCAGTTTGAACGCCTCCTTCACACAGTAAACACCCGATGTTTGTGACAACCTATTGTAAATAAGATGTACTGTATGTGATTTAATTGATTGTAATACTGTATAACCAGTGGTGCACTCAATTAATGGTGATATTGTTTGGGACTTGTAAAGGCATTTGAAATAAGTATAAGTTATAACTTATAAGTGATGGATGATGTGATCCATGTATGTGTTATGAGTAGGGGTTGCGTCAAACATCGGCACATTGACGGCATCGCACCGGTACGGCACACATAAGGCATTTAAGGCGAGATGGCCGCTCAGAGTCATATTAGTTGTCTTACAAACACTTTCGGGTCAAAAGACGCTGATAGAGTGGGCCCGGGATCACCACACCCACCATAAGTACGAGGGAACCAACGCCGATATAGTGAACATAAACAGGGGTTTCTTTTACGCACACATGGGTTGGCTTATGATTAAAAGACATCCCGATTGCGAGCAAAAGAGACAACACATTGATGTCGACTATCTCTGGTCGGACCCTATCGTACGCTTTCAATACAATTATTACGAGCCATTGGTTGTCATCTTTTGTATCATTATTCCCACAATAATTCCCATCTATTTATTCAACGAAACACTCGTTAATAGTTATCACTTGTGTTTCCTCATACGTTATGCATATACCCTTCAACTGTCCTTTTGTGGTATAAATCATATCATAATTTGAATAATTTTCAAACAGATTTGTTCTAATGTTTAGGTAATTCATTGGCGCACACCAACTATGGTAGCCGACCCTATGACAAATCCATGACTTCTGTTCATAACGACCCTCTAATTTATGCCACTTTAGGAGGTTGTCAAATGCTTTTTAAATTTTATTCTTATTTATAAATTATAATATAATATTATGTATTATAGATGATCATTATGTATTATAGTAAATCATTAGATTTTAATGTACCATATATTATATATTATTATTCAACATTCTACAAATCTGTTTATTAATAATCATTTAAAATAAATATTAGTAATTAGACTCGTATTAGAATATTAAGGAAGGAATTGAGAGCTTATATAAATAGCATTTTATTATATTTATATGATTATCAGATGAGAGTTAGGAGTGATTTAAAAACAAAAATTAGAGTAAATAGAGAAATATTATATTTATATAAATTTAATTGATAATATGCTTGCAATCAGGCGCTTATCATAACTACCATCACGTCTATCCATGGGATTACTCTGAAAGTGAGTTCGGATGGGACGTCAACTTCAATGTAAACACAGCTTTCATTGATTTCTTTCACGCCATCGGTTGGGCTTATGATCTAAAGAAAGCTCCAAAAGATATCATTGAAAAACGAAAACAAAGGACAGGAGGACCAGAAAACCGTACTTACATTCAAAACAATCCACTCTATGATTGGATTTATGGATTTTTCTTGAGCTCTATTGCGATCTGGATATTACTGCCCACAAAAGCCATCTATAATACATTTATAGCTAAAAATACATTTGTTAATTAATAGATTAATAAATAAATAATAGTTACACTTTAATTAATGAAACATTTATTCTTCGTAATCATTTATATGAAATATGCTTGTTCATTTTAAGAATTGTCACATCATAGTTAACAGAATGAATACAGTACAACTAATACCTGTATGTGTTTATACTGTACTAGCTCAAAAAGAACTTTTGAGAACTTATACAGAACTTATACGGTGTTAAAGTAATACAGTGACATCATTAGAATAAACAAAACTAATAGAATAGTAATACAAATGCTATGAATGTAAGTTATATTATATAATATTTCAGACTTTGGTGGCCCGGGTCGTATTATTTTTATTGTTGGTATTGAGAAGTGTGAGTCTGAACTGTTTGGCCAAATCGTGTAATTGGTTTTCCATACTCTCCAGTCTTGATGAAACCTGTCCACCGATCTGTTGTCCCAATTCATCCCAACGAGTCAGTGATGACTGCAATAGTTGTAGGAACTGATTGCCAGCCGCCTGTCCAGTGGTCCCTTATATTCAAATCATTTGTAAACATTCACGACTTAAATTAAAAGCTTTTAAATACCAATTTGACCAAAACTCCAGGGCTTAAGTATACTCATCACATCATTGGTTGGCAGTTGTTGTGAGTGAACCAACACATGAACTGCAAACATATAATTGCAAACAATTATTAACATTAATTTCATTTTCAACATTATAACTCTTATGGATCATCTATTTTAAGTAGAATTTTCAGAATATAAATTTTATTTAAAAGTTTTTAAAGCCACTTATATTTATACATTTTTAAAAATTCATTTTAATTGATATAAATATTGATGAAAATACTGATATATAAATATACTTTGATTTTAATTAATTTTATTTCAAAACATTTTTTGTTGTGACAGAAAATATTTGAATTCAATTAACTGAAAATTATTGTATTTTGTTATTATTGATGTCTCTCTCAAATATAAATATAAATCTCATAATAATATTAATGTTTTTTCAGAATTGTCAATAAAAACAATAAAGTAACCAAAGTTGGTAAACCTTGACAATATCAAACAAATAGTTTGTGTCCTAATTCTCATATATAATATTTTTCATCAAAAAATTCAAATTTTTGCAGAGATTGCATTCATATATTATATTTATAAATTGCTTTTATTCACACATTTTGTAAATAAAATGTGCTTTAAATATATTACTGTAACAATTTGTTGAGATCAAAAATATTGTTTTGCACTCAAATAATCCTCACAAACAATTTACAAAATATACTAATACTTTAATTTTTAAAGTCTTATATTCTATATTAAATTTTAAAAATTCTATAAGATATCTAGTTTTTGAATCATACATTTTTAATTAATTGTAAAATTAGTTCGTCAAAACATAAAATAGATCATTATATAAATTGTGAACCAAAAATTAGTTTTATATAAAAAACTTATATTTTAATAAAGTATTTAGGCACTATAAAATTGTGTAATTATGGCAAAAGAATATGAAAGGGTAGGTTATTTTTGAAGGAACACTGTACGGTAGTAAAGTAACTGTAAAATATGTACCGGTATTTACGCATAAAGGGGCTAAATCTTTTATAGCAAATAATTAAAGGCATTAATTTTTAAAATATAATTGAAATTCATATAAATGAAAAGTAAAACAATTATCTCAATGACTGGAATTCTGACTCTAAATGAATATAAAATAAGTTTTTAAAAGTTTTAAAAATTAAATAAAATATTATTTGTCTAAAATAGCAATATTAGATTTAATTACTCTACCATGTGTGATTCGTACAAATAGTCTAATTTTATTGTCACTGAATACATATTTTAAAACAATTTATGATATGAATGAATTGTTAAATAATTATTAAATGAATTGTTGAATTGTTATTTGGTTGAAAATGGGAGATTAACGCTTTGGGGGAAAGGGTCACTGTTATGTGTAAGTGTGCAATTAATTCTTGATCTTTTTGGTGTACATTCTTTTTAAACAATACTTGTTGAACATATAATTGAATTCATAGAATAATTGAAATAGTAAAGTTAAATTAAAATTAAATGTAAATATTAAACAATAAGAAAGACTTTTAAGAACTTTAATATTTAAGACTTACCATTTTAAAAATTAAGTTATTAAAAATATTTAACATTATTATTTGTCATGTATTCAGGTAATTTATTATGATAAAGATTTATTATCTAAAATTTAGATTCTTCATCTTCTATTTTGACACAAATTATGATAGAAATTGGTAATTTCAATATTTCCCTATACTGTGTACTGTAAGGTTCAATAATTAATTTATAAAAGATCACTTAATGATCCATACGGAGAACTTATGTTTTTCTAATAAAAGTACTCTGGTTATCTAATGATTAATTACTCAACGTATCATAAAAACACTGTTAACAATATACTAAATGTAATAACTTACAAGATTAATATCACAATAATATTAT